CCAGAGTGAAGATTTAGTCGCATATGCGAGTGATTTACTCGCAATGTAGAGGGTTGTAAGGATTGCTTTAGCTTTCTCAAGGATTTGTTTGTGGTGTGTTACTGTTCCTTTAACAGAACATGCTGTGTAGAGCGTGTCATGTATCTGCAGCAGATACAGTAGCCGTCTAATGTGTTTCTAAAGAGCTCTGTGGGTTAGTCAGAAGGTTGTGTGTTTGTGTGCTTTCGGGCCATAAAGCCACATCAGTCAGTTGTCCCTCTGTTCCGTTTGGCCTTCCTCCACTGTAATTGTGCTTGTTAACAGTAATTCTAAGAGGCGTCGGCCGTGTAGTTCCCATGAACTTTTTCACCCCTCTGACAGAGATTCTCCTTGTTAACTTGTACCAGCAGAATGAGTTAACAAGATTATATTTAATGTAGTAGTTCACACGGTAGATAAATAGTTCAGAATTTCCTTGGTATTATAACAGTGAGGTCACATTTACCATTGCTCTGTGAAATTTTGTGGGCGAAATCCAGTCATTTCAATAGAAATCTACAAGAGTTTCATGTGAGGGCAAAAAGATTCCCTACACAGATTTCGCTTGTTGATCATGCACATTCGACACTTTGACCAACAGAAAGCTGGTTTGTTTTAAAAAGTGACTACTGTGTGAGTGATTCTACACTATTGCTATTCAACAATGGACCTTTTTTCCTGCAAAATATTACAGGAATTTCTCTAATATGGCCACACCTTAACTGTTGAGAGCTTTGTTCTACTTCTTATACGTACAGTCAGGCACATAGCCTTTCAAAATGTACTCCACTTGATAGATTGCACAAACAGAAGAGGTTGGACAATCTAAAATCTAAATCATTATTCTTTGTTATACTATGGAGCTGTTGAAAACTTGAATCTGATTGGTTGACGAACATTCTAAGGTGTGCAATTATTTTCAGGGAAATGCACGGCTAAAGTAGTTCCAGGCAGGTCTTGACCTCATTACATGTCCATATCAATTCGCCAAATGATTTCAGTTATTTAAAGGTCTACAAGAATCTGCAACAGCAAAAGAACCAAAACCCACAACGATACTGACCAAGCAAATAAATATAGAGGATAAAAATGACAAATTATTTCCATGTTTTTGCCACAGAATTACATTTTATTATGTACGGAAAGCACATACTCTCTTTCTCCCGCTCTGTCTCCTATACAAACGTACACACATACAGTACAGACACACAATCAAAAAGAAACATGTTGTCAGTGCTGCTCTGACGATTTCATCAGTAAAATAGATATGATCTTAAAAACTGCAGAACGTTTCTCACTAGAAACAGATTGCTATTAGTAGAGACGCTGCTGCACTGTTGAGAGACCCACAAACTCACAGAGGTAATTCACACACACTTAATCTCTCTCTCTCTCTCATAACTTAATTAACCCTAAAAGGGGTGACATATCCTGGGGGATACAAACATTTGAGGAGAAGCAGTGAAAGTGTAGGTCTTATTTCTTGGTTTCATTTTGAAAGGGTGTTTGTTGTGAATATTTAGATGAGGTGACTTTGTATCTTCATTTTTTATTTAGCTCACGGGCTGCATTTAAAACTGCATTGCCGCCTGTAATGGGAAATCTACTCACCCTCTGATAAAAGTTGATCTAGTTCACATATTTACACGTTGGAGGGGACCTACCTGCTTAAAAAGCTGTTGTTCAGCATTAGCTTATTAGGTTTACATTGAAATTTTATGAATTAAATGCTTACATTTTTTGTAATCTGTCTCTAAATGTTTGTATCTCAGGGGATACGTCACCCATTTAGGGGTATAAATCAAGATATAAAAACATATAGACTCTGATGATTTTGTGTCTTGTGTTTTAGAAAATCAAATCTTTTTGTAATCTTAACAAAACATATATCGTTGGAAAGGTTTGACAGTCAAGGTTCCATATTTGGTGACTATAGAAGTGATATTGTGACAGAAATTGATTGATTTGTGACAGAAAACTGCATCAAAATAATTCAATAGAGTTTGGGTGTATGTAACCCAGGCGGTTATTTTTGGTATAGTGCCCAAACAAAATCTCACAAGAACCACAATTTTTGTGATATCAACT